GGAGAGGAGACGTGAAGCCGCGACGATGAGGAGAAACGGGGTGCGAGAGCTTTTATAGGGTGCCCGGTGTTTTTCCTCCGGAAACAAAATGAGCTCCCACTGGAGGGACTTGATTGTTCACCACCCTGAGCACTTCGCTAATTGGATAGTTTTTGCACTGCTGTTTTGACTCACGGTATTACCAGCAGATCAATATCCCGCCTTTGGGATTGCCGTTCCTCTCGTTACTTCATCAAAATGTTAATTGCCCACCACGCCTGGCGTGGTTCCTGTGCAGGGATGGGGAAGGTTCTGGATGGTGCCTTTGACTGAAGATTTTACCTGCTTCTTGGGCCTCATGCGAAGCAGCCGTGAGCTCAAGTTGGCAATGCAAAAACGTTCGGGGATGGGAAGGTGGGAGAGTGGGGTGAGCTTGGTTGCAAAGGGATCTAGAAAATAAAAGAGCCTTGAAAGGGATCAAATAAGGGCATGATGGCGTGTAGGAAAAATGAGTGTGTTTGTGTAGCTTGGGAAAAAAATCTAGGTTGTGAGTGGGCGATGGAGACAAAGGGAATTAAGGGTGCAGGTATGAGAACATGATGGGGTGGCTGAAGGTAAGCACAGAGCCCGGGGCTGGTCTGTGTGGGGGGTGCCCTGAAAACAAGGAGTGGGAGCATCTCCCGCTGGCCTCCACTGAGGTGATGGGGCTCAGTCCTGGGAGGGTTACGAAAGGAGTCGAGTCATCTCCAGGCTCTGAAGCTGCCATCGAGATTCAGGCTTGGGGTTTAGAAGTGGGAGATGGCCATGAGAGACTTTGCAGTGAACCCCTGATGGACGCATCCTGTTGGGACGAGGGGAGTGGGTGAATGCAGGTGGTGGGATGCGGGCAGGGAGTAGCATCAAAGAGAAAGATATTTCCAAGCAAAACAACAAAGAAGCTCTGAAAGGAGTGTTGCAAAGTTTCATACCAGTCCTTTCTTTGCTCAAAGAAAGACTTTTAACCCAAACAGAAGGAATTTAAAACCCCAGAGGAGACAGAGAACATCCAGGCAGGAGACTCGAGAACACAAAAAGTCTCCAATGATGTCCCATTCCTGCAACACTTGGACCAAATATCTGGTGTTAATTACCTTTTTTTACGCTTTGATTGGAGGAAAAAAGGTAGGGAGGGGAGCGGTGTGACTCTTTGAGCTCTTTTCCCCCTCTGTGCCCTCTTCCTCACATGTACATTGGGGAGGGCATCAGAATCTCCATAGATTTAGCTCTGCTTTGGGGAGAAAAGTGTCTTTCTGTCTAGAGAGAGAGCACGAGGCCCAATCTCATCCAGGACTCTAGAGGCCACTGTAATATTAATAATAGCACAGATGGAATTAAAGTAAAACACGGAGTCAAGGGAGATGCGTTGCGAACCGATGGAGCTGAATCACTCGAGCGAATCGATAATGTGAGGAAATCAGAGCAGGCGTGGGGCTGTTTCACAAACACCAGAAGAATGGGAATTCTTGTGAAACTATTATTCACAATTCACTAATTACAGCCCAGATCACGCAGAGGGTGACAAACATGTTTATCGTTTCTCTCGGCGATAGAGACATCTATGGGGAGGATTCTCGCATATGTTGGAGACCTGCACCCGGGTAGAAGCCAGGACCATAGTGACCCTAGAGCTGGTCTCTGAGCCCCACGTATCTCCTGCAAAGTTTTATGGAGAGGTTTCCCAGCATTCTATGGTCCTTATTGTGAGTGGATGGCAGTTTTTCTTTCTTTACGTAATTTATTGGGGTTTTTTTGCAGCTGTCCTAATAAAAATCTCAGGAGATGTTTTTTTCCCGCACTCTGGATTGTAGTTTCAGGGTGGCTCATGATTCTTCCATATGTCAGTTATTCGTTTGCTATTTATGAAAGAGATGAAACGCAGAAAAAAACCAAGATCTGGGGGACACCTCAGAGTGTTCAAGTTCAAGCCTCCAAATCCCTGAGAGGTCTCTCTTCTGTTTCTCACAGGGATTGCTCACGTTAAATCCCTCTCCTTAATAGTTAGAGAAATCTATCTCAAAACAGAATAACTCCTGCCCTGGCAGGTGGGAAGCAGGAGCTGCCCTCCTGAAGTCTCCTCCAACCCTCTGGACCACGGACCAGAGCATTTCTCTCTCCGCCACCCCTCTTGCTCTGCACCAGCCATCCCTGAATCCTCTTCCTGATTTTTTTTTTTCCCCAGGGCTTTTTTTTGGAGGCCTGTGATGCAAGTCAAACTGTACCCGTTGCCTCGTCAGAGCATGGAACCATGTGCCAAGCAGATCTTCTCATTTTTACCTCTGTGATGAAATTGTGTGGCTTTTTTTCACCATTAGTGTATCGATATTTAATGGCGGCGTTGCATAAAGAGGCTGCGATGCAAATTGTTAGTTACTTCTCAACAAGGAAATTGTCTGGCGTAGGAGTAAAAAGGCACCAGGTTGGATCAATCCGGAACCTCGAGGTGAGGGTGAACGGGGATGCTGCAAAGAGCAGATCTGGCCACGAGAAGGAAAAGAAGCAAATCAAAGGAATTAAGTGGAAAACACTGATGCAAGAGGGTGATGAGCATGATTTTTTTATTGCCTCCACATCCGCTGTGAAATAAACAGGTGAGCAGCGCTTAACATTTCACAGAACTGGTGGGTTACGCTTTCAAAGCACGTTACAAGCAGAATGAGAGCAAGAACAGAGATCCGAGCCCACGAGGGCAGCGTGGCAGGAGTGAGAAGATTCCCTCCACTCATCCCCATTCCTCGCATCGTCTACTTGATCTTCCGGGCCGGCATTTTGCAGACCTGTTTTTGCTGCTGGCTTGGGATGCACTTGGCCACAGGCACGCTGCTTTGCTGCTGCACCGGGGGGCAGTAGGTCTGGGGTGGGCAGCACTGCGAGACACTCTGGGTCGGCTTGCCGGAGCAGGGCTTGCCCCCCTGATAGCCGGACCCGTGGCATGTCTCGGAGCAGACCGACCTCCCGTAGCCCACGGATGCGCCGCCTTGCTGCTGCACTGGAGGGCAACAGGTCTGGGGTGGGCAGCACTGCGGGACGCTCTGGGTCGGCTTGCCTGAGCAGGGCTTGCCCCCCTGGTAGCCGGATCCATGACACGTCTCGGAGCAGACAGACCTCCCGTAGCTGTGGCATCCCCCCGATGACCCGTAGCTGTACGTGGGTCTCCTGACACAGCTGGAACCACCTCCGTGGCATGAACCTGAGGAGCCGTGGCATCTCTCAGCGCAGACCGACCTCCCGTAGCTGTTGCATCCCCCCGAAGACCCGTAGCTGTACGTGGGTCTCCTGACACAGCTCGCACCCCCA